AAAACTTGTGCAAGCTGTTCGAGATTTATGGGTTAAATGAATTGTGAATTCCATGATTTGACTAAAGTGTAATTTAAAAGCAGCTATCAAATGGTAGTTCTTACCTGGCTAGAGCCATTCTAACATGAGATAGCCCTCCAAGAGGCAACGCCAGGGTATCCACTTTGAAGATTTTTCTTCTACAACTGCCCACACGGAACTCAAATGGAAAATCAAAACGTTTGCTTTGAGTTTTCCAATTTGCCGACGATTTTGTTTTAATTGGTTTACTAAATTATAGATAATTCTCGATATTGGCACTTTTCAAAGATCTTGTATTAATTGTTAGCACATAAACGTCATCTTGCTTTTAATCTGGGTAATACAAGGAGAATTTAGTGAGGATTTAAGGTATTAACACAAAGTTAATAATAGCTTGACTTTGGAGTTTTAATAACAACGACAGCACGCCTTGAAATATGCAATGTTTTGATCAAACGCCTCGGCCAACAATGAAAATTGAGATACGCTTTAATACAAAGAATACCATGAAATGGCACATCAATTTTATCACATTCAATTGCGAGGCGAACGTGTGCGACCATATAATGACCAAGTTCGGTGCAACCCGTCGTATACGTGATATTTGCACGCGAAATTATCAAAAAAGTCAAACAGCTCACAAATATAATCGCGTCTCTGTCACTCGCAGTCACACCGAAAGAGAAGGGTGAAAAAACCAGCGCACTGCGTTCAATGCCAAATCAAAATAAAAATAAAGCCAGCAACAAAAGATACTGAAACAACATCGAAATAAAAAAAAAACTGATTCAACTTATCAGCAGAATTTCGTGTGATAAGCTAAATTAAACAAAGACTTTTGTATGGAGATAGCCCTGCCTCTTTCACCCGCAATGCGTTTGTCTCTTTCATGGCATTTGCACATGGCTTGCCGGCATTAAAAAACGCTCAGCCTCGGCCAAATAGTAATGAAATCAATAAATACGAAAAAACACAAAACTACGAAAGAAGAAGCGAAGAGGAGCAACGCTTCCGCAGCTGGCCGGCAAAATAAATCAGTGCAAAAGCAGCTTTGGAGGTCACCACTGACGCCCCAAGTCGCTGCTAGAGGAAGAAACCCTCGGCAGAAGATTCTTCTTCTGCTGTAAGAGAAGGCTCTCCAAAAACTACAGTGAAAAGAAGACAACATATACATGTAGATGAGAGCAAGCATGATGGATGGAGAAACTAAATTAAATAAAACAAAAACCACACACTAAATTCCATTCCATAGTCATGAGCATACAAGGTTCTTCCTATATCACTCGATTCCACTTTTATACATACAAACACACAATATAGAAAAAATAAAGAAAGAAAACCAAAAAGCTCCCAACCTGCGCAAGTGAAAAAGCTACAATTTTGTGTTTGCAAAGACAGAGAAAAGCTGCGCCGGCGTTTGCTCGCTGACCTCAGCTGCTTATTTACCGCAAGAGCAAGCGAGATGGCTGCTAGAGAAGAGCAAGTGGGAGGGAGAGAGGGCGAACAAAGTTCTCTCATTTATAAACAATAAACAAAAATATTGGACAGGGGGAGCACATGTTTTTAATTGAACTGTACGAACCGAAAAGCTCTTTGCACGTTCAAACATGTGTATTACACCCATGCTAGCCCTCTCTATCTGGCTCTTTTGAAAATGTCAATGCTATTTCGGTAATATTTTTTGTTTCGACTTTTCCTGCCCATCTGGCAACGCCGCCGCTCGAAAAGCTTTGTTTTTTAAACATATACCAGTTAATAAAAATTTAATCAAATTCGATTTAGGCATTATAAACATGTGATTTGCGTCACAATCAAAAGAAAGAGAGAGTGGGCTACTGAGGGGTGGTGCGAAAGAGAGGTGGCGTGTGGTAGAACAAGAACGAGAAAGCAATAGCCCGTGCCGGGTGCTAAAAAGCCGACTCTACTCAAATATATGGAAAAAGTTGTCTTGCTTTTCAGCTTCTTTGCTCGAGTTGCTTTATTCTCGAGTTTCGAGCTTGAGGCTGGGTTTATTTCCATATAGCTGTGTATATACGTATATAGCCTAAAACATTTCGAAGGGCGTTAGATTGAGGAAGTTGTTAAGGCCTGTGCCTGTCGTTGTTGTCTTGTTGAGCTCTTGCCAAAGCTCTTTTGTCATTCACTTTGTGTGTTTAATTGCGCGTGTTTTTGAACTCCGACAAATGTTAATGCATTTTAAAGTTTACGGCTTTCAGATTAAGGTCACTCGTTTAAGCTGCACGATATTGAGAAAACTGCCGTGTTTCGTCAACTTCAAAATACTCGACACTCTCTTGTTTCCGCCTGACCATTTACCGTTGCGAATTGTGGGTGTTAAATGGGAAAATCGGTTAGCAACACAGATGTGAATTATTTTTCCGAGGAAAGCACACACAAACTACTACTCGCTACGCGCAGCAGCTGACGACTGAGGAGCTTTTTTCTTAATATATATTTTTTTGTTTTGCTTCACATTGTGTGTTTGTTTTGCTTTTGCCGAAAAGCTTTGGAGAGAGCGATTCGGAGCTTTGGAATCGAGCATTTTTTGAGAGCGAAGAACCACAGTTCGAACTACAAAAGTGAAGTTCTCAAAAAGTAGCTACGTCTCATACTGGAATTGGGTGATAAGAGATAAGATACAAATTTTAATGCATAAGCAATCTTTCCTTATTACAAGGAAAAATGCTTCTCGACCTGATGCCTATTTTGCGTACTTTTAGGCATCTAAAACCTATCTAATTGGGGTTCACTTGTTTTGAGGTACAACAATTCTTCAACTTGCATACATTTAAGCAGCAAGAAAAAAGATTTCAAATTGGACTAAAGTAACACCTGAATCCAATTAGAAGATATACTATATAACATTCTTGATATTTCGTAACGGGTAAATAATAAACTTATTTTCGAGTTAAAAATACGATTTACTAAGATTTAGCTAGTAAAAGGCAAAGTCAACAACACTAAGCAGAAAGCTCCATGGGGTGGCTGCCGACTATCAAGGCCCTTATCAAGGCTATTCAAGGGGAGCAAGTCAGCAGCCTAAGAGATAAGAGAGAGCTAATCCCCAAGAATTAATGACTTAATAATTGTCGATGGCACTGTTCAATTGAAAACATTGCTAACCACTGACCGCACGAGTAATCCCGACTTAATTGCAGAGATCTTTGCAAAGAAACTCACCTTGTTTAAGTTATTATTGCTGTTCCTTCCTGTAATTTAAAAGCCGAAGCCAAGCGAGTCAAGATGTCTGAAAACAGGCAAGAAATGCATTAATGTTGACAATTATATACTAATTAATTTAATGAACTTAATAAATTTCGTGGAACAAATACAAAGAACTTGTTTAAATCTGGTTTGGATTGGTTGGCAGCAATTGAGAGCAAGACAATAGAAACAAATCGGCTTAAAATAACAAAATAGAAAAACAATAAATTTGTATTGAAATAAATTCAATGATTTTGTAGACTCATCCAAAATTTTCCAAATTTGTCTTAAAACATCCGCGGCTGTAATTGTATTTTTAAAATTATTTGCATACAGCCGGTGAATTTCGGATACAAAAACCCCATATATAAAAACAGAAACACACGAATCGGTTCAACGTCTTCAACTTTGTATGCCGCATGTTGTTGTTGTCTTAATATCATTGTTGTTCTTATTGTTGCTTTCATTGTGTGGGGCTGCTCACATACTTAACCAAAGTCGTTGCCACTCGCTGCACAACAACAACAGCAGCAACATCAACAGCAGCAACGATTCGGAGAACAACAACAAATTACTTTGACAGCACAAAGTTCTCAAGTGAACAACCTGAACATCGAAGAGCGCTACCATAAACGTCAAAGTCAACAAAGCGGGTCAAAACAGGCAGTACACAGGCAAGCGGAAAGTTTTTGGGGCGGAGAGAGTTCTATGCAGGGATATGTGCGAGTCACAGGTTCTTCGGAACTTGGGGATAGCCCCCCCAATCCGATTTGGCACACCCCAAAAACTATATCAATTGGTCTCAGTGCTTGATAAGGTAACCAGTTTAACTGCTTCGTTTAAAATTTAAAATTTCAAGTATTTAAAAGTGATTAGACTTATTAAAGCCAAATTTTTTGATATATAAAAGAATTTTGAGAGGTCTTTTTAGGTTCATTATATTTCGAAGAACAAAATAAGAAGTTAACCCAAAACAATGAGTTTATGATAAGCAATCGAAAGGCCAGATAACCCGTGACATATGATGTCCTATGTGACATGAAGTTCCGGAAGAACTGTACTTTGGCCGGCGGGTTGTTATAAAGTGCAGAAAGAAATGGAAGGATCCCTTACACATGTGAAGAATCTACACATTTAAATAAAATCGGTTAAGAGGTTCCAGATAAAACTAACACCTTTACTATGACTAGGTCTATCAATTCACCGTACATACCTCATTAACCTAGTCTGAAAATAGTTTTATAATTGTTGAGATTTATAAGAGTATACTATACACACAATCAATATTTTTATTTTTTTAAACTGCGTATAAAGTGAATGGCGTAACTGTCATTATAAATTCCCAATATGCAGTCGGGGTAGCTCTATACAAGTAAAGTTTATTTATAAAACAAAGCTTCTCAATTCGAATACGCCTTCAATAATATAAATGTAAATACAAGTGCTCAATCATTATCTCGGAACGATTTGCCATATCACCAGTGCAGGGTTGGCTAGTGGGTCAAAAGAAAATGCTACCTATCAATATAATAACAATACGTTGGCAATTATTGCCAACATTTATTGCGGGCATTTATTGACGCCCGCAGAGAATTACAAGTCACACTGAGAAAGCACTATACTGAACTCATCGCGAGGGATCCTCCAGCCAAAAGCAAATAGGCGAAATTGACCGACCTACCTCTAAGGGAATCTCTCGCCTGGAGTGGTTTTGTGTATGTGTGAGCCCATAGATAAGGTAATCATCCATCCATATGAGGAAATTTGTTGCACTCTAACGACTATAAATTGGCAGTCGACTACGAGAAGTCAGTTGCGTTTTGGACAGCTAGAAGTGCGGACATAGTAAACAGAATAGATTCAATATGATCGGAATATATTTACTGATCGGTGCAGTCACGCTGCTATACGTCTACCTCAAGTGGACATTTAGCTACTGGGATCGCAAGGGATTTCCCTCGACGGGAGTGAGCATCCCGTTCGGTGCCCTGGAATCCGTGACGAAGGGAAAGCGATCCTTCGGAATGGCCATCTATGACATGTACAAGTCGACGAAGGAACCGGTGATCGGATTGTATCTCACTCTGAGGCCGGCTCTACTGGTTAGAGATGCTCAACTGGCTCACGATGTGTTGGTCAAGGACTTTGCCAGTTTCCACGATCGTGGGGTGTATGTGGATGAGAAGAACGATCCCATGTCCGCGAGCCTGTTCCAAATGGAAGGAACCAGTTGGAGAGCCCTACGCAACAAACTGACACCCACCTTTACGACCGGAAAACTAAAGGCCATGTTCGAGACCTCGGATTCGGTTGGAGACAAATTGGTGGACAGCATTAAGAAGCAATTGCCGGAGACGGGCGCCAAAGAGCTGGAACTCAAGAAGCTCATGGCTACGTAAGTTGTGGCGTCGTACATGATTAGATTAGCAAATGTCAATTGCATTACAAAGATGCAGCTTGTTTAACTTTGACAAATACCAAAGTACACGTTTTTATTTGGACAACCTATTCACAGTTTCAGAGAGATTCACAGATTCACAGAGATTATAAATCAGTTCTGGGAACATGTAATAGCTTTGGTTCTTCATGAAATGTATATTTTATAGGAACTGACACATCGTAACGCATTCTAATTTTATGACCGTTGCCAAATGTACTTAAACAGATATGACAAACAACTAATAAACTACACTATTTATTTATTTTGTTAGGTACGCCATCGACATTATTGCCACTACTATTTTTGGACTGGATATTGATAGCTTCGCGGACCCCAACAACGAATTTCAGGTTATTAGTAGAAAAGTGAACCGAAACAACTTCGAAGATATTGTTCGTGGAGCATCTAGTTTCCTGTATCCCGGGTAAGTTTGAGGTGCAATTCAAATTTAGGCACCAAACCCATATCTCCAATCCCTTTAAGCCTGGAGAAATTCTTTGTCCGAATCGGCTGGAAACAGGAGGCTACAGAAAGGATGCGCGAGTTGTCCAACAGAACCGTCGATCTGAGGGAGCAGAACAATATAGTTCGTAAAGATCTGCTGCAACTTCTGCTGCAGCTGCGCAATCAGGGACAGGTCAACACCGACGATAATGTTTGGTCGGCGGAGAGTTCTAAGAATGGTGTAAAGTCCATGTCTAAAGATTTGATTGCCGGCCAGCTATTCCTCTTCTACGTTGCCGGCTACGAGACCACAGCCTCCACAGCATCATTCACCCTATACGAGCTAACCCAAAATCCGGAAGTGATGGAAAAAGCTAAGGAGGATGTTCGCAGTGCCATCGAAAAGCACGGCGGAATGCTGACCTACGAAGCCATCTCTGACATGAAGTATCTGGAGGCCTGTGTACTCGGTAATAGATCTATTCTCATAAGTCTTAACTGCATACCATATTTCATATCGATCGGGCGCAGTTTACTGCCCTACATTTTGCTTAGTAAATGGTACGATACCTTCAACTTTCTTACAGAGACTGCCCGCAAATATCCCGCTCTGCCATTGCTGAACAGAATCTGCACCCAGGACTACCCTGTGCCCGATAGCAAGCTTGTGATCACGAAGGGTACTCCCATCATAATTTCCCTAATCGGAATGCACCGGGATGAGGAGTACTTCCCCGATCCGCTTGCCTACAAACCAGAACGCTATCTGGAGGATGGTAGAGACTACAACCAGGCGGCCTATTTGCCATTTGGCGAGGGACCCAGGATGTGTATTGGTGAGAAATGATCCAGTCATATAGGGTGAAATCGAAGTTTTAATACTGTAGATAATTTCACAACTCTTTGCAATTGAAGAGTTTACAATATAACTCTGATCCCTTGCCATTTCCCATGGAAACTAAGAAATTTCCCTTTATTTTCCAGGCGCCCGCATGGGCAAGGTGAATGTGAAGATAGCGATCGCCAAGGTTTTGTCGAACTTCGATCTGGAGATTCGGAAGGAAAAGCGTGAGATTGAGTTTGGCGTGCATGGAATACCGCTGATGCCCAAGTCAGGTGTTCCCGTGCGTCTGTCTCTCAAAAAGTAGTTCGTAGTTCCTAGTCTTGCAATAGAACCATGTAAACCGCACAATAAACGTGCAATTTGTAATGAAAATATGGACAAACATTTCAATTGGATGCACTTCTCCCTCACACAGTCACACCCACACACACAGGCACACGCTCGTACGCACCTTTGTAAATGTAAATAGTTTCTTGTTCTCCGCTTTACATAAGTCGCCCTATTTACTCGGCACTGGGGGGATTCTGAGTAAACTTTGGCTTATCGAATGCTGTTTCGCATATGATCAGAAACTCCATATGGCCGGAAATGCACTTTATCCAGCTATGACAACACAATATGGCCGAAAAAAATACTCTTTCACTTTTTCCAGGCCAAGTTGTGTGAACTGCGCCACACACACGCGCGCACACACACACACACACACACGGGCGCGCACGCACTGGGAACACGCACACTGTCGCACTCGCGGCGATGACGTTTTCGGCCGCAATGCACCTAATTAACGGGCTCTTTCGCGGCTAATTCGACTGCACTCGTTCGGCGGCGACCCTTGGCTATTACTTTGCAAATTTCCAAGTAAATACGACGAATTTGGCGAATCAGCGAATCACTCGCTTCCCATGCTGCGGCACACACTCACACGCTACCACCCACACGGACGCATACATATGTTTGTCGCCGGCGGTCCGGCAACGCCGCGGCAATGCAACTCTGACTGGCCACTTGGCGAGTTTGGCTGTTTACCAGCCAACTTTTTTATAGCTACACGCTAAAACATATTTCTTTTAAACTTTTTGTGCAATTGCACTCTATTTGCCACACTGGCTCTTTGACTGACTAAATATTTAAACTACATTTGAATTAAATATTAATATTATTTAAAAATTGTTTTAGTTTACATGTTGATTTCTTTCACAAATTTTTTGAAAATATGTTTAAAAAATGTAATAATTTAAAATAACTATTGCGATTCTTGCACATGAAAATGACTGAATAAATTCATTTATTTAGTTAAAACAATTAGCTTTTTAAAGCAGCACCCGCAGGTCACTGCATCCCTGTTTGTGTTTCTTCCTAGACTGGGTGGCAACTCCCTTGTTTTTCTCGGCTGACGGAAAATTTGACCGAATAAAATCAATTAAATTGAAATTGCAGTGAAAACCAAATTCACAGTAAAAAAAGTGCACGGCGACAGGCTAAAAAGCCGTGTTTTTCAAGGCTTTTCGAGCGCCGAACCCAGCAGGCGTACGTGTGTGTTTGTGCGTAGCCCGTAGACGTCACACGCTCGCTCACGCACACAAACAAAAGAGCGAAGCCTCACTATTTACTTTGATCACCACGTAGTTAACTAGCTAAAACTAGTGATTACGCACTAGGGCGACATGGACGGAAACAAGGACGAGGCCCAGCGGTGCATCGATTTCGCTGTCCAGGCGCTCGCCGTGGGCAAATTCGAAAAGGCAGAGAAGTTCCTTCTGAAGGCGGAGAAACTCTTTCCCACGGATAATGCTAAACGTGAGTTCACTGATAACAAAGGGACTAGATCCATTGACCCGCATTTCCCCATATCAATTGATCCATGCTTCCTTACCTTTTGAAGAGCGGCTATCTTACGGGTTCTTTCTTATCTAGGGAAACAACAAAGTTATGTTTGACATTTCGCAATTGTCGCGGATTGGCCACAAAGAGTGGTCCGATCTTAATCAAATTAGTTTTTAACATACATACAGCTTTAGTGATATTGAGAGAAAATACATTACTATCACTATTTCTAGAAGAGCGTTTCTGCAGCACCTTAGAAAGCTGCTCTTTAAAGCTTAAAAGCAGATAACATCATGTCGTAGCATAACATGAGCACTGACCTTTAACCCACCGACCTGTTTCTTTCCCATCTGCTAGGGCTACTGGCTCGGGTGAAGAGCGCTCCGGGCAACGACAGCAATGGCAAATCCCGTACAGCGGCGACCAGCGATGAGAAGGATAGCGGGCCTAGGAAACGTGTGAACTCGGATTCCCGCTCCAATGCCCCAGATTACACCAATGATCAATTGGAGGCTGTGAGAAAGGTCAAAAAGTAGGTAACATTCTATGAAGCTTTTCAAAATGGGCCAAACTACTACCAATTGCGTTTACTGTCCATTAGATGTAAGGACTACTATGAAGTACTGGGCGTGAGCAAGACGGCCACTGACTCGGAGATAAAAAAGGCCTACAAGAAGCTTGCATTGCAACTGCATCCGGACAAGAACAAGGCTCCCGGAGCAGTGGAGGCTTTCAAGGCACTTGGCAATGCTGCTGGCGTACTTACGGATGCCGAAAAGCGCAAGAACTACGACCTGTATGGCATCAATGAGTCGCACAATGGTCACGGCAACAATGGTGGCGGACACCATGGACACGGCCAGTACTACAACAACGAGTATGGATATTCGCGTGGATTCCAGGCTGACATCAGTGCCGAGGAGCTGTTCAACATGTTCTTCAACGGCGGATTCCCACAGCAGAATGTCTACATGCGGCAGCAGCGACGCCGACATCAGGCTCGCGAGGATCGAGAAGTAGGTGTTAGAGGCAAGATAATTTCTGGACATTATACGACTGCCCTTTTCTCCTTATCTAGGGAAACAACTCTTCGGCTTTGGTCAACTTGCTGCCCATCTTGCTGCTTATCGGACTCTCCATGATGTCGTCCTTCTTCATCTCGGACCCCATGTACAGCCTGACACCCTCTCAGTAAGCAACCCCTTGAGTCCTTCCACAACTAAGCCAACTAACTTGGTTTCCTTAACCTGCAGTAAATATTCTGTGAAGCGTGAGACCAACTCCCTGAAGGTACCTTACTACGTAAAGGACAAATTTCATTCAGAGTACCTGGGATCAGTAGCTCGATTAGAGGAATCCGTGGAGGAGGACTTTGTCAATCATCTAAAACACTCCTGCAGTCGAGAGCGGAATTATCGTAAGTTAAGCAGAGAAGCTATATTAAACTGATATTAACATAAACGACTTTCAGGCGACTCAATGCTGGCCAAGGCGCGTACCTTCGGCGATCGGGACCTGTACAGAAAGGCGCAGAACATCAACACGCCTTCGTGCGAGAATCTGCAAAAGTATTTAATCACATAATTTAGTTAATGCTATCACACGAAAACCCACTCTCCACAAACCCCCATTTTAAACCTTAACTGGGTTGTAGTCATTGCATATTTGCTTTAGTTGTTATAAATGAATTTCATTGTCTGTTTTGTTGCGTAATCTATATGTCTATTCAAATAACTTCCCTCTCTCCCCCAACACCCAAATTGAAACGGAATGAAACGCATAGAGGTGCTATGATGCATCAGGTTTACCCTAGTACCGTTTGGTAGCACGATCCGGTCGATCGGCATTATCATTTCTATAGAGCAATCGGCAACATGTGAAAGCGAAGCAAACGCAACTGCCAAAAGTCATATTTACGAGTATAAGAGGGAGGCTGAGACGAAGGACTCTTCTTTTTTTCATTTAGAAATCGGATAATTATAAATATAAATTACACACGGATACGCATGATCACATATTGATAGTCAAATTGTCAACGGTTTTTCTTAAGGACACCAGCGCATGGGCAGTGGCGATACTCTGAATAAAATTGCAAGTTATTATAACTCCAAAATAAATGCCTTTCTCTTGTGGGCTTAAGTTTTGTTTTGTTTTCTTCGCTAGAGTTTATAAATGTACAAATAAAGCAGTGTTACGCTACGTAAAAGAAACAGACGGCGATTAGTCCAGGTTCCCCGAGCACCTCAGCTCAGTTGCTGATGATGGCTTCCAAGGCGGCCACCACGTCGCCGCTCTGCTCGCGGAGCACCTTCTCGGCGTGCGCCTTGCTAACCAGCAGCTCGTTCATCTGAAACAGCAGAGGGAGTCCATTACATGGGGTGCTCAAGGCGAAGGTATCAATTGGGAACTGCGCCTTGCTCCTTTACAAATTTCTTTAAAAGAGGAAACTACTTAGTTGCTATGACTAATTCACGTAAATCGGTTGGATTTGGAGCTCTTAGCAGGCCCCATCGAATCATGCTATCAATTGACGCAATCCCCAGTAGATTCGGATACGTACAATCAGTTCAATGTCCTCTTTCTTGACTTGGACCTTCTGGAGCTCCTTTTCCTTGGCTACTCGCAGTTCGTTCTCCTTGTTTCGCTGGTTGCCAAACTGTTCCACAGCCTGTAAACAATATGGAACAAGTGTTACTACCATATTATAGCTTGTACTAGCTTGTTTATAAGGATTCTTACGCTGGATATGTTGGCCGCAGATATCTCCTTTTCCTCGGCATAATCCGTAACACGTTCCAGGTCTAAAAGCAAGATGAAAGTTTAGTTTTCTTACTATACTTCAGTGAAAGGAAATTGAACTTATTGCCAGTTGAAGCGACTAAAATGTGTGGACACTTCAATTCATGCTATGGCATAGATGCCACTTTTTTATATTTGCAATTTTTTAGTGGAATGATGGAGAGAGGAAGAGGTAGAGGGAGGGAGGGGGCATGTGGAGTATTTACCTGCGGCGCCGTCGTCATGTCGTTTCACGTCGGATTTCTTTTGCTTTTGATCCTGCTCGTCATCCTCCACTTCTTCTCTGCCGTTGATTTCCTCTGCTTCCGTCATTTTTTTTCCCTTTTTGTATGTTTTATTTAATAAACGTTCTGAAATTTTTGCGATTTGTTCACCTCGTGCGATTAGAGATGGACTACTAGCGATAACGCAATTCACTTATTTTAATTTTTAATCTATGATTATTTTATTTTATTGCAATAGTTTTTGAAGTTTCATATGTGGTTCAGGTCTCAAAAATTTGAATTTTCAATATATTCTTGGTGTTTGCGTTAAAATAAAAGGTTTAAATTTGATTTAAGCCGACTGGCGGCGTTGCCACCTGGTTGTACTTAATCGAACACGACAGCCCTGTTTCAAAGCGCGCGCAATTTGAAAAATTGTTCTTCTATATTTGTACACTTACAACCAGAGAAACAGTAGAATCATCAGAACGGTGAGAAATAGTGTCATATTTTATAACAACGAATTAAACGGAGCTAATTTTGACAAAAAATGAAAAGCTGTAGAGCTTGGCATCATCAATTTAGATATTCCTTTTATTTTGTAGACATCAATTTTTGCTCAGATTTCAGTTTTGAATAAAGCGCATGACACAAGTACATATTTAAATTTTAAGTTAATGCCAAAGTTTATGTGTCAGCCGCAAAACTAATTAAAAATGTCCCGCACATGCAACATACATACGTACATAAGTAACTGCTTTTGGCGCTTTTCTCGTTTCTTCGCACATTCCAATTTTTGTGCTGCGGTCAAAATGTTAATTATAAGTTTGATGCCCGGCTATAATTAGATTTTGAAGCAGCAGAGACACGAATACCACTCTGCTCCCATGGAATGTGCGACATCCTTTTTAGTCCTGCTCCCCTGCCGGCGCTCCTCCAGTCCATGTGTGTGTCACTGTGTCCTGTGTCCTGTGTCCTGCGTCCTGTTGACATAATCGTTTGCCATCATGATTAATTTAATTGTCACTTTGACGTAAGGACACTCGCAGTTCCTTCTGCTTTCCTCCTTCGCCCGGGCTGAAAATCAAGATTAATTAGCATCCATGACCATGGGCGGTCAACATCATTTGTTTGGGGGCGTGTGCGCAAGTGGGGGTCGGAAAAAGGGGATCCACGGGGTGGCGACATATGTGCACTGCATTTAATTCGGGATTATTTCGGCAGCTCCGGGTTTTTCGTCGGAATTTCGCATGCAGAGCGCCAGTGATCGCAAAATAAATAAAAACGTGAAATGTAGGACCTTTCATTTTGAGTAGCTCAACTACTGATACCCTTTAAAATTGAGTTGAGTAAGTAACAGTCGAGGTTTCCTTTTAAATTGTATATTTTGGTTAGCAGTCAGAGCGTAAAAATGAATGTTTCAATCTAAAATTGAACTGCTGAACTATTTTGTTAAAAAAAGGGTATGCAAAGATTGAAAACGGATTTTGCTTAACCGCGGAATCTCAGCTAAAACGAAGCATATTTGTGATTGGCAGCAACAGGCATTGCATTGTTAGCCCAGTTCTCGTTTTGGCCGCCCAGCTCCCTGCCATTTTCCATTTTCCCGGTTTTTCAGCACTCGCTTTCCCCCATTTTTTTCCTTTGCCAATTGGAAATTAAATTATGGTGCTAATTAGCACAGCACATAAATTAAGTTGCCAATTTCGGCTGCCATTGTGGTTGGCAATGGCAAATTGAGCGTTGCATATCCACAGGGGCATCCTGTTTCTGTGACTGTGTGTGTGTGTGCCCATGTACATGCATGTGTGTTGGTGCTGGCACCCAAAAATTCACACAGTATCTTCTTTTTTTTGCCATTTTTTCGGGGTTAAATTCGCTTGCGTGACGTAATTTAACTTGCATTGTCTTCGCGAAGGGCGAACATTTCGCCGATTTTGTTGTTTCCCTTCTGGTGGTTACTTTTTGCGTTTTACACCCGATTTTATTGTTTCTTTTTGGCGCGGTTGTGGTTTCTGTTCGTTTTATGCCAACTTTGTAAGTGCGCGAAATAGATACAAAGATAGCAAAGACGACACGCCATAAATGAGTTATCAGGATTATCAGGATGGTGTAATAATTTAAGACTCCAGAAATGCTGATTTAAAACGATTTAGGCACGGAAAAACATTTTTCTTGTATTTCTTTAGGTACTTTAAACAGCCTTTAATTTATGTGTATTTGTTATGTCTAGAACTTTCTTCTCTCTTGTCTTTCCATATTTTAATCACTAACACTCGAATGTAAATTTTGTGATTATCAATTTTGAAACCTGAATGCCATTGCTGATGCCCATAGGATTTGGCAATGAACATGTGTTCAATTTGCCACACCTACCCCAAAATCAGCATTTCTGCTGGCTCAATGCAAGCACACTTCCTGCTTCATTTTGGGGCATTCCCTTCATGAACTGAATGCGGAATGCAATTGGCTGCACGTACAGTGGCGGCCGCAATGCTAGCATTGAGTATTCAAGAGTTCATTTTGGGAAAATAAAGAACTAAAGTAAGAGTAGAATACTAGGACTGCTTGATAGATGACAAGCAACAGAATAAATTGCATGAGCTAATAAAAGTTCCACAAAAGAAATACATTTAATTTATTCTTTTTGGTAACTAACTTGACTAACTTTGTAGGTTAAAGTTTTTTCCTCAGGCTCAATAAATTGAAGTTTCCAAATTTGTGGCCCCCGCTGTTTAATATGCACTTGTCTGTGTGATTTTCAGGATGCCATGGGCCGTGTCGTCTGTGCCAAATGACATTGGGCTGTGGCATTCGTGGCCAGTCAATAAATAAATTAGCATAGCAAATAAATTAAGAAAATGCAATTTTCAAGAACTGTTGCACGGACGACCCACCGAATTCTCCATGCAAACGGCGATTCAAGGACGGTCTTTAAATTTTGGTACAGTTTTTGGGGCGGCGAACGTTGGCGTTTCTGGCTCATTGCATGCATAATTGGCTAGCAAACTCAATTACGCTAATAACACTCGAAAGCCCGGCTCAAATCCAGTGTGTGTCCTTAAATATTTATGTCTATGGGTGAGCGCTTGACTGACGCCACGAGAAATTATCCTTGGAGCAACCAAAACCGAAATCAAACCAACTCAACTGGAGAAAAAACGAGGATTGGGGCAAATAATGGAGCCATTGAAGGCGCTCCAATGGTCAGCAAAAGTTCCAACTGTAACAGATAGCGAAGTAGCAAAACTTACTCCTTGCAAGGATACTCTCAGTGGCCGGACATGGGGCTTGGGTTTGGGGCTATCCTTCAGGTATCTGAGCTTGTGTGGCGAAGGCGACCTATTGACGACCTTTATCGGGGTGTACATAAACCATAATCGCAATTGGCAAGTGGTCGCCACTCGAGGAAGCATCCTTTTGGCCATTGTCATGCTTCACAGGATGGACACACAGCCACCGACTCCAGGGCATACACGCACAAACGGTACACTTCAAACAATAATGTTTTCTTCAGGTAAATATTAAATGTGCTTTTCACCCTATCTTTACACTAACAATTAAAGTTTCTTATTGAAATATAATTTAAGTAATTTTGTGCGCAGTGCTTTTAAAAGCATAGTTTAATAGACAGTAAGGTACATAAAGTAAGGGAGCAGTGTTCTAAGGTCCGCCTACTGCCTTGAATCGTACAAAGTACGTATATATTTTTAAAAGTGCTGTGCTTTTTTCGAGTGTACCTGCTGGCTCTGGGCATTGGCCAGTTTGGAACGCATCGAACGGAAGCCGCTGCTCATTCATTTAAAACTTGTCTGCAAGTTGCCAAGTCGGCCCACTCCCCTGTCGCTCCGCAGAAAGAAGGTGCAAACCCTCGAGTTTGTCGGTCGTAAAGCCCCATCTTCCGCCCACTTTTCTCCTGACCCCCCGGCCATAATGTATCCCTGACATTTTGCAACTTTTGCGTTTAACAATTTCGCTTCCTTCCGCTGGCTAAACGGCGCCAGGTTGTCGTGGAAATTTGTTTTAATCGTCATCTTTGCCATCGACGTAAGCGTTTTCCCAGCCCCACCCACTAGCGTTTTCCACCGCCCACCGTCTCAAGGGTTCGTTGACAGTAACTCCTTTCGGTTATCGATGGCCTGTTCAATATTTTATTAGTGTCGTTAGGCGAAACGACTCCGAACATCCTTTACAACGTACCTATGAACCGGCTGAGTTTGCCAGTCGGGTTTTTTGTGCCCTTTTTGGTTTGGGCTTTCGGTGTTGGCTCAATAAATTTTTATTTGGCAGTAGGTTAGTTTGCCGGCATTGTTTCATGTTTACTGCCTGTTAACATTTACATACGTTACCTATACGCAATCGCTGAAAGGTAGTTAACTTATAGGTAGACAATTGACCGCCTAGAAGATTAATGGTTTTTCCTGTGGGACAAACAGGATCAGAAATGGTTATCAATTTATTCCAGAAAAGTAAATTATCTCAGCATTTACTTTTTGTTAGATATTGCTTTATTGCTTTACTGATTAGGAAATTATTAAAAATGTAAATAAAACATACGTTTGAAATCATGCAAAGTCAGAACGTGTAAACTGTACGAACTCGAGGATTTTCCTTGTCCTGATAAAATACTAATTGCAATTAGGTTAGCAAACGTAGCTTTGCTAAAACGCAGCGCAAAATATATTGACCATTCTATTAAATATCACATTTCCATTCAGTACTTTGTTATTTTATGCACTTTTCCACCCAATTCCTAATCTCAGCTTTTGGGAAAAAAGCAAGAACGCAAGTGTGCAAAAAGTCCGTCGAAAAGTTGCGATAAGCGTGAGGAACTTTTGCAGACCGAAAGTGCATAAACATTCGAGGCTCTCCTTATCAATGGGGTATAACATAACATAACCCTTACGTTCGAGGGGAGTGCGTATTTTCGTGGACTTTATAACCGGCGAACACTAAAACTGTCTGCCATTGTGTCATGCATTTAACTCTAAACGTTATTATTGCCGCCCGACAGTCTCCGCCAATTTGGCATAATGCGTAATATTTCTTTTTTATAACCAAACTACGCATCCGCCTTCAGCCACCGCGCACTTAAGGTGTTCCAAGTGGGAGCGAGATGGGGTGCGGGCAGAGTGAGAGGGCACCAAGCGTACATCCAAACATATATCCTGGGTGGCCAGGATAATAAAGGGTAAATGGCACTGCATACTTTACAGCGGAACACCATAACTT